TTTATTAAGATCTCCAGAAGTTTCTTATTTCTTATGATGCTTAATTGGCATATACTAACCTAGCTAGTCCAACCAATCTCTGAAATTCCTCATAGTTTTATTATAGTATGGCTTAGCTATCATATGCTTAAGCTAGTGCAAAAGGCTGGAGAGAGCTGGGAGCTCCAGGGAGCTGGAGGGAGCTCCCAGCCCCCCTCGGCGGCTGGGAGCGAACCAGCATCTTCAATAGACCGGTCTGATTAATAGATATACGTTTTACAATATGTATGTGTTATATTATCTTACTCGGCGACCAAATTAAATTTTTATTTTAAAGGATAAAACCACATTAGAACTTAATTTATATTGTTAAATTTAACCAAAGCTGGTCGACTTTCATGATTTTCATTTTCTGCAAGGACTTGATCGCAGAAATGATTATAGCCATTCGCAAAATCATTAATATCAACTTGTATCTGTTAGAAATTTATTTTTAATTTTTTTAATTTGAAAAAAAGGTAAAATTCAGCTTCGTTCCCCCCCCCCTTTTTTTCCTTCCTCATTTTCTAGGTTATTTATATTTTTCTAAATCATTGTTCTGACTCCAAGATGAAGAAATAAATAGTAAATGACCGTAATAATTGATACGACCCCGCTTATGTAGAGGAAGACAACAGAAAGTTTACCACACGTATAAAATTAAGAAAGATGACGATTGGGGTAGGAAGACCGAATAAGACTGTGAGAGCTAACTTACTATTGGCCGGCTTTTATACTAAACTCTTTAAGAGCTGTCGCCCATACACAACAATAAAAATAAATTATCTATAACCTGATTACGAATTGCATTATTAATAAATTGCGTTAGGTTTGCAATGATTTGTTGTATTTCATTCAACTATTCAAAAAATTTTTATTGAATATTTATAAACTCATAAATTTTATTCCAATGTTAGTGCTCGGTTCTAGATAATCTATGCTAATTTCTCAACTTTTCCAAATTTTGAATCGGATTGGCTTAGAATTTTATCTAATTAAGCGCCCGGTCGATTTATTTTTAAACCACCTCTTAAAGGGGGTACAGCCCGAAATGTCGCGCGGCCATAATGTCGCCAAGCCATAACTTGCTAAAAAATTTCTGGCCCTTATAAATTTTGGTACCAATCTCTTTAGCTCGATGAGAGGAATCGTTTAATACTAAATTTGGAAAGATTCGGAAATCTTAAAGCAAGTTATGGCTCGGCGACATTATAGCCGCGCGACATTTCGGGTGTGTCCCTCTTAAAGGGCATCTCTATGGAGAAGGCCGTTAACTAAAACGGCCGATTAATTGGAGAAAATACGGCAATATACTCAGAGATATTCAAAACCGAAATGAGTTCCATTACAGGCATGCGGACATATCGGGACGGACATATCGGGATATTTCAATGTACAAACAGTTACCTTAATGATTTCGGGACCTACGGCCACTGGGTCTAGGATAATATACCGTATTTCCTAAAATAGTACTCCCGGGAGTACAATTTTTCAACCCTCCTCCAAAGAAGAGTACTATTTAAGGGGGGGAGTACTAATTCAGGGGGGAGTACTACTTTTCAACCCTCCTCCAAAGGTGAGCATTATTTAAGGGGGAGTACTAATTCAGGGGGGAGTACTATTTCAGGAAATACGGTATGTATTGTCCTATTGGAATAGAGTTTTATGTTTTAGAACAAACGTAAACACGCAAGAAATTATTTTTGTCACCCCAATCCCGTTATGTCCGTCCCGATATGTCTGCACACCCCATTACAAACTAATTGAAATAGGAACTTGAATTCCAATTTTTGGAGCTCCCAAGCAGAGTTAAACAAATTCATATTTTTAAATGCTAAGAAATAGGTTACTCATAGAGTCGCTATAAAAATTGTTCACATAGATTCTCTTATTTAAGGGTATTCCCAGCTTTAAGATTGTTCAATTTTTTGTGTTAAGATGAAAATCTATTTATATAGTCATAATTATATGTTAATATCTTACTGCAGCTGGAGGTATTCCTGGAGCCGATGCATATTGTCGACGAAGATTTTGAGCTTGAGTAAGCTAAAGATTTGTAAAAAAAATTTTTAATGAGTAATAAACAAATAAAGTGAATTAAGGGTTTATTTAATCATAAAGGAAATAATGAATATGTCAGTAAATCCAAAAATGTGATCTGAAATTAGCCAGGAAATCTGAAAAGCCATGCTATCCTAATTTCCTGAAACCTTTCTGTTATGTCCTAGGTTAACGGTCTTACCTAGTGACTAACAGAATAACACAAGAATAGAATAACTGTTTATCCGAATAGTAAATACAATAATAACGAAGTGGCTTATTATGAGTGACGAAGGAAGGCGGCGACGGTAGGCCAGGTGCCAACCAAGACTGATCTCTAAAGCTTCGTTTTATACTAAACACACACATACCTGACACTTTCCAAATTTTGTTCATTAAACAAATTTATAAATTTATTTTACTAATAATAAATATAACCTGCGCTTGCAACTCGTTTATATCACCCCCTTGTCTAATCGTATTATCAAATTGGTCTCGTAAAGTTTGTAATTCATGTGCAAGTGTATTTCTGGCTTGTGGCTATAAATATACTTATGTTAAAATTTATTAACATGAAAATAAAATTTACTCTTTCTTACTACTCACTACTTCTTCGGGGGAGCATTGCCAATAACAACAGACCAATTGGTCGAACTGGCTAATGTGTTGGCTGAAATTATACTACCCACTATTGAGGTAGCTGTCCGCGCAGCAGTTGTTGAAGTATTTAAGCAACAACAAATTAAAGACAATAACAACCAAAACAATCTTCAAACCTTATGGAGCCAACCCCCGTTTGGCGTGGGAACAACTACTTAATCAGATTTCTTTCTTAAATCGTCAAATCAAAATGTTTTAAAATAGGGATCTGATTGAACGCAAATCGGAATCAGCAGTTGGCGTGATTTAAAAATTTGAAAATTGGCGTTTGGCGTTAGGCGCGCCACGCGAAAATTTCGGCGCACAACCCTGATCTTTATCTGCCACAAAAGTTACCTCCACTCGTCGTCGTCTATAACCTCCACAAGACGCAACTTCGAATTCACAAATAACTATCAAAAGGACGGAAGCGAAAATAAATTTGTTTCCAATCGAACACATTTTTGTTTTTTTTCAAATAAATATTTTTTAAATTTAAACTCTGAATAAAATTAAAAAATAAATATAAAGGAAAATTATCATTTATGAAGGTTGATAAAGTAGAAGCGGCTTTAAAGTTGCCACTAGGGTTGCACAAAACCGTTTAACTAAACGGTATACGGTAAATGGGTAAAATTAAACGGAACGGTATACGGGCTCAGATAAACGGCATAAACGGTATAAAGTTTTTTTCAAAATTAAACGGTTTTGTGCAACCCTAGATGTCACTATAAAAATTATTTTAAAAAATAGGGTTTATCGGTCTCACCAAATTTTTCGGTTACCGTATTTTCTCGATTAATTCCCCTGTAGAATTATTTTTTCAACCCTTCTTTAGCATGGGGAATTAATCGAGGGAGGGGAATTATTCGAGTCTTGGCATTTGAACGTTCAGTAGCGTATTCGGAGGTGGGGAATTATTGTTTCAACCCAACTCTAGCATGGGGAATTAATTGAGGGAGGGGAATTATTCAAGGGAGGGGAATCAATCGAGAAAATACGGTAAACTAAACCGAACTGAGAAACCAAACCGAAGCAGTAGCATAAGGAGGTATAAAGAGATTCGTGAGGATAAAGAAGGTTTTAAGAATTAGGAGAGATGTAGAGATAGATTTCCCCCTTTGGCATTTTGTTTTTCCAAACCCAATGCTTATCAAATTATGGTTGCAGATCCGGAGCCAAAGTAGGATATAGATATATAGACTAGAGTACGTCCGAGTCGAGCGAGTTCGAGTTACTCGACACGACCGCTCGGGTTTTTGCTTAAGTATCGACTTGGAACTCAGACATAATACTCGGATTACTCCCTTAATATTGCTCTTAATCAACAGATATCACTCGATATCCCCCTCAATCAACTTAAACTCCCATAATACTTTATTCATTGATTTGCCACCCGGAGCCAACATGGAGAGGTTCCGAAAATCGCCGGCTCCGGAGCTCGGAGCCAACAAATCTTAATACATTTTTAAAATGAGGCTTGTCCCAGAATTAGTGCCAATGTGAAAATAGAAGTAGTTTGAAAATGACAGTCAAAAAATCTTATTTGAAAATTATTCTTTATTGACTACTAATGAATTTGAATGTGTTAAATTAAATAAAATCTGGGGATTATCAAGGAGTATAAATAAGAAAAAAATTATGGGCGGGTCTGAACTATGTAGTATGAAAAAAATTTTTTTAGAGAATTCAACATGGAGAAGGTCGATTAATCCCATTGTCTATTAAAATAAATTTTAAACCGGAAAGAAGGGAATGGAGAAAATGATTGAGAGATAGAGCGTGATAAATTGTTTATAAAAATTTTAAATTGATTTTAAAATTTTAAAAATTTTAGAGAGGAGAAGATAGAGCTACAAATTGAACGGAAAGATAAGCTAAAAATATTCAATACTAGTATCTTGTTAAATGCCACATCAGGTTTAATCAATTGAAAAATCTGTTAGAAATAGAAAATAAAAATCAGTAAAAATTTTTCTGAACCAGAATTAATTAAAACATTCTGGAAAAATAAACAAAATTAATTAAACACAAAAATCAGAATCTAATAAAAAAAGAAAAAAATCAGAACTAAATAAAACTTTCCGGAAAAATCAGAATTAAATAAAACTTTCCGGAAAAATCAGAATTTAATTAAAAACACAAAAATCAGAATTAAATAAAACACAAAAATCAGAATTATTTCATAAAACTTTCCGGAAAACAAATCAGAATTTAATTAAAAAACACAAAAATCAGAATTAATTAAAACACAAAAATCAGAATTTAATAAAAACACAAAAACCAGAATTTAATTTAAAAAATCAGAATTGCATATTTACTCCTTTTATAGTAAGTCGTTATAATAATAAAACAATTGGCGCTCAACCGTCCCAAAAATAAAATTAAAAACGTCACAGAACAGATTATAGAAAATAAAAGAGGGTAACGCTGAGTAAGTGAAAAAGACATAGAGAAATGTTCATGTCTACTGCTAGGCAACCAAAATTTTTGTTTTTAAAGCTAAAAAATGCAAAAATCGTTAATGATGACTAATTGGTATATTAATTTCTTTCAAAGTTTTGTAAAAAAAAGTTTATTTTATGCTGTCACATTTTAATTTTTTAAAATTTATTTTTGCTTAATATACATTTTTCTATTTTTATTTTATTTTAGATTTTGTTTTGGAAATTTTTTTATTGTGAAATATTCCAATTTTAATTGATGGCTGGACTTGAGGGAAATCCATTTGCTGATCCTTTCCAGGTTTTAGGGGCAATTTTAATTAAATTTTAAAATTCTCCCTGGGTGTTGTCGTTAAAGGAACACGCCCAAGTAGGCGCGCGGCCAAGTAGGCGCAAAGCCGTAACTTTCTGGAAAATTTCTGGCCCTTCCCGATTTTTGTAACATTCTCTTTAGCTCAATGAGAGGCATCGTTTAATACTAAATTTGGTAAGATTCGGGGATCTTGAAGCAAGTTATTACTTTGCGCCGTTATGGCCGCGCGCCTACCTGGGCTGTACCCGTCGTTAAATATTTTGCCTAAAAATTTATCCTCAAACTTTTTAGCAGACCAACAATTCGACTCCCACAAACACTGTCCCGCAACAACCAAGTGGTTATGGAGGAACTGCTCAAAGTATGCCGGCGAGACCGGTATATTTTTTATAAATTCTCTTGAATAAGGTGTTTAATTAAGCGTAAGAACAGCGCTAGAGTTCTAACATTTAGTGAAATTCTTTCAATCATGCATATTTTGTGTTTCGTTCAATTAGAATTTGATTTGAATCTCTTTTCTTGGAAAAATCTTAAAAGTCGTCGTATTATAATTTAATTACAATGAGGGCAACCGTGATAATTGTACATTGACATATACTATTTATATTATTCTCAGACTAAGACATAGATACGGATACAGATATTATAAAAATGACTGCGGATATCCGTCTGTATCCGCCGTAAATATCCGGATACGGATACCAAAATCAGTATCCGTGTCCTAGTCTGATTATTCATAATAACAATTAGAAATCGGTATTTTCAAAAATCCTGGATCTGGATTTAGGTTAGTAATCTGAACACTATTTTTGATTCTTCTAAAGTCTGTCCTTCATATTTGTTTCGGCCGCATTCGTGGACTACTTATTTTAGGTTTTTTACTCTCTGGATCTAGGGAAAATCCAGGACGATCAAAAATGCCTGGATCTTGACTCTGGATCTAGGAAAAATCCAGACTGGATCCAGACCGATCTCTAATAATAATGTATCTGACATTTTCTTTTTTATTCTATAAATATATTCTTGGAGCTTATTCTCTAAATTATTGTTAGGATAGCTAAGTTTCCTCCCCGTCTAGTTTTAAAAAAATTAAATTAATTTATTTGGTGGTTCGGATAACAACAAACTCTGCTTTGAATGGTCTGCCTTATGGACCTACTTCCCTTAATAACTATTTTCTGATTAACTATTTTCCGGATTCCCAGTTAAATTTTTATTAGAATTTTTCAAGAAAATTTTCTGTTAGTTCGATTAAACTTATTTTTGTTATTTCTTGATATTTTTGTAAAATAGGGTTTGACCCCGAATCCTGATAGCACGTTTTTCTGGGTGCGTTGGAGTATGACTGACATTAAATTGTGAGTGTTATCTGTCAGTCATCCTCCAACACACCCAGAAAAGCGTGCCCTCAGGAGCGTGCCCTCAGGATTCGGGGTCAAACCCTAGTGTAAAATTAGCCGGTATCGGGATCCCCATCGGCGGTTTTCCCGGTTTTTTGAATCCCTATCCAGATTTTATGCCGGAATCCCAATACCGGCCAACTCTATGATTAATGACTCAAAAATTATTTTCGATTTTTTTACTCTTCTATCCTCTCTTAACTCCTCTCTTGACTTTGGTTCCCTATTTTATAAATTCTTTCCTAACAAAAATACCCAACTCTTAAATTCCCTTTATAGAAACTATGCCAAGCTAAAAAAAGGGTAGAGATTCTATCGTTGTTTCCTTTTTCATTTTATTTTTTTTCTATTTTCTTCTTTCCTCTCATTCAAGCTAGGCATTTATGGATTATTGTTGAAAGCCTCAAGAATTGCATAGTTTAACAATTTTGGCACTTGTTTTCTTTGCTTTTCTTAGGAATATTTTTTTATTCTCTTCGAAAATTAGGACCCTTAAAAATAACCTTCAAAAAATTTATTTTCAATCGAACCTCATTTTTAGGGCGGTACGACAATTGCGGATGACTATTGCGGATATAAAATTTATTAAAAATTAATCATTGTTTCAGTGCCTTATCAGTCTAAAAATGATTCAGAAACCGTCAAAAGTCTGAAACTGACAGCCGTGGCTAAAAAACGGGATATGATTTGAATCATTTTAAAAATTTTTCAAAAATTTTCAATCCGTAATTGTCAAATCCGGAATTGTCGTCCGCATTCGTCGAATCCGCATGTGCGTATCCTCAATTGTCGTAATATAATTTTTAGATATCAGCTAGGGGATAAAAAAATCATACCTCATACTAAAGTGTAGATTAGACAGGAGGGGGAAACGGGAAGGAAAAATGGGGTCTGTCAGGTTCAATATTACCTAGAAGCCTACGCAGCTCCCCATGCCCCATGGCAGAACAAATCTTAAAAAATCAGAACAAAAATCAAAACTTCTATTTATATGGCTGCGCCAAAACCTGTCAGCGCCTAGGGGAGCAGGCCAACGTACTGCGAGCCCAACGTACTGCAGAGCTATATCTTTTTTTAAAATAGTCGAAGCCGGGACGTCTTAGTATGGTTCTATGCATCTCGACAAGCTGAATCGAACCATATCAGGTCGTCCCGGATCTGACCTTTTTGAACAAAGTAGTTTGGCCTCGCGGTACGTTGGAGTGTACCCCAGCGCCTAAACATCCCACTCCAAATAAAAACATTTTAAATTAAAGGATACCTTATCGAGGTTATAATAATAATGAGATTTCTACTGATTTTTTAATTTTAGAATTTTAAAAAAATTTTGTAAATATTAAAAAAATGATTTTTGAGGCTCAAGCAACCGTACCGATCAGTGAAGAAGAATTGTTTCGCCAGCAAGAAGAGTTGCGCCGGCGTGAACAAGTTAATTAAAAATTTCAGAATTTTCTGAAAAAATTTTTTTCAAAGGAATTAATTCGACGCCAACAAGATTTGGACAACCGCGCACGTCAACAACAACGTGCGAGTAATGGGCAGAGACCGCCTCACAATTGGCCGCCTCTACCCAAAATTATACCGTTGGAGCCTTGTTTTTACCAGGATATTGATGTGGAGATTCCTGCACAGTTTCAAGTGAATATTTTTTAGTTGAAAATTCTGATTTTTGTGTTTTGTTTGTGTTTTGATGTTTTGTGTTTTGAATTAATTCTGATTTGTTTCCGGAAAGTTTTACTTAATTCTGATTTTTGTGTTTTTATTAAATTCTGATTTTTCCGTAAAGTTTTATTTAATTCTGATTTTTGTGTTTTAATTAATTCTGATTTGTTTTCCGGAAAGTTTTATTTCTGATTTTTGTGTTTTTATTAAATTCTGATTTGTTTTCCGGAAAGTTTTATTTCTGATTTTTGTGTTTTTATTAAATTCTGATTTTTGTGTTTTTTTATTCTGATTTTTCCGGAATTTTTATTTCTGATTTTTGTGTTTTTATTAAATTCTGATTTTTGTGTTTTTAATTAAATTCTGATATTTTCCGGAAAGTTTTATTTAATTCTGATTTTTGTGTTTTTATTAAATTCTGATTTTTCCGGAAAGTTTTATTTAATTCTGATTTTTGTGTTTTTATTAAATTCTGATTTTTCCGGAAAGTTTTATTTAATTCTGATTTTTGTGTTTTTATTAAATTCTGATTTTTCCGGAAAGTTTTATTTCTGGTTTTTGTGTTGTTAATTAAATTCTGATTTTTGTGTTCTGATTTGTTTTCCGGAAAGTTTTATTTCTGGTTTTTGTGTTGTTAATTAAATTCTGATTTTTGTGTTTTATTAAATTCTGATTTGTTTTCCGGAAAGTTTTATTTCTGATTTTTGTGTTGTTAATTAAATTCTGATTTTTGTGTTTTATTAAATTCTGATTTTTGTGTTATGATTTGTTTTCCGGAAAGTTTTATTTCTGGTTTTTGTGTTAATAATTAAATTCTGATTTTTGTGTTTTATTAAATTCTGATTTGTTTTCCGGAAAGTTTTATTTCTGATTTTTGTGTTGTTAATTAAATTCTGATTTTTGTGTTTTATTAAATTCTGATTTTTGTGTTATGATTTGTTTTCCGGAAAGTTTTATTTCTGGTTTTTGTGTTAATAATTAAATTCTGATTTTTGTGTTTTATTAAATTCTGATTTGTTTTCCGGAAAGTTTTATTTCTGATTTTTGTGTTGTTAATTAAATTCTGATTTTTGTGTTTTATTAAATTCTGATTTTTGTGTTATTAATTAAATTCTGATTTATTTCCGGAAAGTTTTATTTCTGATTTTTGTGTTGTTAATTAAATTCTGATTTTTGTGTTTTATTAAATTCTGATTTTTGTGTTTTAATTAAATTCAGATTTTTGTGTTTTTATTAAATTCAGATTTTTTTCCGGAAAGTTTTATTTCTGATTTTTGTCTTTATATTAAATTCTGATTTTTCCGGAAAGTTTTATTTAATTCTGATTTCTGTGTTTTTGATTAAATTCATATTTTTGTGTTCTGATTTGTTTTCCGGAAAGTTTTATTTCTGATTTTTGTTTTATTAATTAACTTCTGATTTTTGTGTTTTATTAAATTCTGATTTTCGTGTTTTAATTAATTCTGATTTTTGTGTTTTATTTAATTCTGATATGTTTTCCGGAATGTTTAATTAATTCTGATTTTGTGTTTTTATTAAATTCTGATGTATTTTTCCGGAATGTTTAATTAATTCTGATTTTGTGTTTTTATTAAATTCTGATGTATTTTTCCGGAATGTTTAATTAATTCTGATTTTGTGTTTTTATTAAATTCTGATGTATTTTTCCGGAATGTTTAATTAATTCTGATTTTGTGTTTTTATTAAATTCTGATGTATTTTTCCGGAATGTTTAATTAATTCTGATTTTGTGTTTTTATTAAATTCTGATGTATTTTTCCGGAATGTTTAATTAATTCTGATTTTGTGTTTTTATTAAATTCTGATGTATTTTTCCGGAATGTTTAATTAATTCTGATTTTGTGTTTTTATTAAATTCTGATGTATTTTTCCGGAATGTTTAATTAATTCTGATTTTGTGTTTTTATTAAATTCTGATGTATTTTTCCGGAATGTTTAATTAATTCTGATTTTGTGTTTTTATTAAATTCTGATGTATTTTTCCGGAATGTTTAATTAATTCTGATTTTGTGTTTTTATTAAATTCTGATGTATTTTTCCGGAATGTTTAATTAATTCTGATTTTGTGTTTTTATTAAATTCTGATGTATTTTTCCGGAATGTTTAATTAATTCTGATTTTGTGTTTTTATTAAATTCTGATGTATTTTTCCGGAATGTTTAATTAATTCTGATTTTGTGTTTTTATTAAATTCTGATGTATTTTTCCGGAATGTTTAATTAATTCTGATTTTGTGTTTTTATTAAATTCTGATGTATTTTTCCGGAATGTTTAATTAATTCTGATTTTGTGTTTTTATTAAATTCTGATGTATTTTTCCGGAATGTTTAATTAATTCTGATTTTGTGTTTTTATTAAATTCTGATGTATTTTTCCGGAATGTTTAATTAATTCTGATTTTGTTTCATCTAAATTATATTCTTTTTCTCTTCCAAATCAGGAGACTGTTCGTCTTGTCTACTATGTTTATCTAATTTATGTTCTTGCACTCTCTAGCAACGTTATGGGTGCCCTATTTTATTTTTTGTTTGCCGGTGGTGGTTTTGGCCTGATGTTTCTCTCAATTATTCAACTTATATTGTTTACTCCCTGTGCATTCCTTTTATGGTTCCGACCTGTTTACAAAGCTTTTCGGTAAATTTTTTAGGGAAAAAATATTTTTTATTATCATATTACGGTATTCTAATCTCGTTGTTAGAGACCCCTAGTCGTTAACAAGCATACTTTTTCACATGTGGATACGGTAGTATCTCTTAGGAAATTTCCACAACCTCTGACCTAACTACTTCTAAGCATAAAATCTGGGGTAGGCAATGGGTTAGGTTGTCTCTGACCAGCTGCTTAGAACATTTTCGGAAAGAAACACAAATCCCGAGTCTCCGTCATGGACCAGGATGATTTTCAGGGCATTTACTAAACACGTATACACCCGCTATTATACTGTTTGATAGAGCCCGGACGGAGGGCTCGGTCGATATTTTTTCGATAAATATCGAAAAAATATCGTGTCGAGCCGGGCTCTACTGTTTGATCATCAAAAAGGAAAAAACCTTTAGTGGCAATCTGTTAAAAATAAAATTAATTTTTATAAAATTAGAATTTAGCAGTCTATCCGTGGTTGGTAAATGGCCTAAAAATCATCCTTGGCCATGATGGGGACTCGGGGTAGATTACTAACCCTTGTAAAATTTTTAGTTTAGTTAAAAACGATGTCCAACTGTACTTTGTTCTCTCCTTTATAAGAGGGATACACCTCTCTCTTATCTCATAAAAAACTTTTTTGATAACCTAAATTTTCTTGGGTATATTTTATCAGCTCATCTAGCACTCGAATAATATTTTCAAAATTATTTTTAATTAATTAAAAATAAATAAAAAATAAAATTATTTTTTTAAATTTAAAGTGATGATTCTTCATTCAATTTTATGATGTTTTTCCTGGTCCTTTTCTTCCATACAATTTTCTGTCTAGTTCAGATGCTTGGACTTTCCTATGCCGTGTAAATTTAAAAATTTTGAAAATTCATTATTAAAATTTTTTAAATTTTCAGTGGGTGGACAAACACTATTGAAGCATTTAAGTAAATTAAATTAAAATTATTAGTCAGACCTCTATATAAGATTAGTCCCAAGATAATTTATGACTCTCTGATATTCTCCTCTCCTCCTCCATCCTCCTCCTCTTCTAGATGAGCTATCCTCTCCTTCTTTCAAGATAATTTGATTAATGGAAGAGGATCATTACTGAAACAAATAGGCAAAATATAACCATAAAATAATCGAAATAGATTAGCCAAATATTGAAATACCATATTTATTCTAATAGAATGGCCGCCATTCTATTTTTCGATACCCCCAAAAAAGGGCCATTCAATTAGAGGGCAATTCAAATGGAGGTGCCATTCAATTAGAATAAATGCGGTATATTGAAATGCAATTTTGTTCAAAATCATATCGAAAAACTAAGTGTATATTTGAGACACTTTTGACAAGATTTGTTTTTGAAAAATTTATGCAATGGAAATCCTCCCTCTACACATTCAAATGGGCCCTGGGGGAGCGGGCCATGGTAACGCAGAGCTATAACTTTGCTCAAAAATTGTCGAATCCGGGAGCACTGTTATGGGTAAATCAGCTGGTCGTTATGCATTTGACAATAACAGGGCTTCCCGGATTCGACATTCTGAACGATGTTATAGCTATGCGGTTCCTTGGGGTATACCCGGGCACTGGGTCTTTTAAAGAGAGGTCTGACTATTTTTTTACTAAAAATTATTTAAAAAAATAATTTTTCCTTGAAGAGATCACTGGTTTATTGGGCTTATTATGCTCGTACCAACCTTTGCATTTACTATTGCATTTGCGGGAATGTGTCTTTCATTGTTTAAGGTGTTCAGAATTTTTTTAAAATTTAAAAAAAAAAATTTTTAAATTAAAAGGTGCACAGTTTCTACCGTGGTAACGGCACCGGTTTTAGTATTAACAAGGCGCGACAAGAATTTAGCAATGGGGTAATGTCTGATAGAAATGTTCAGAATGTGGGTTTTGAAATAGAAAAGTATTTTAAAAGTCAAGTCCTTCTAAAATGGCTTGTGCATGGACACTGATTTTTGTGTCATCAAGACACATACGGCAAATACAGGGGGGTATCCGAGGGCATCTTGATACTATATATCCATTTCAGTATCCACGCACAGGTCTGGTCCTAATGAGTTGTGAGTCGGAAGTCCGATTTCTGACATTTTTTTCCTTCCGATTTCCGAGTTCCGACTTTTGGGCCAGTTCCGATTTCCGGCTCTTCCTATTTCCGCACCTTTGATTGTTCCGACACACCTCTGGTTCTAATTATCTACGAAATTTTCTCTATTTCCTTTTATACATATTTCCAAGAAAATTTACAACAGAGATGGGCCGGAATTTTGAGTTTTGGGCCCAGTTCCGATTTCCCCTAGTTCCAATTTCCGGCACCTTCGTCATTTCCGACCCACCTCTGATGTACAAGTTTTCCAAAGTTACCATTCCTTAAAACTCGTATTTTTCAAGGAATAAGAATTTTTTCTTGTAAATAACATACACATGGGGTTAGGCAATTTATTTAAGAGTTGTCATTGAATAAAACGGTAATCTTCAAAATAAGCCAGGTTTCCCGTCTTATAGGATAAACACACACTAACAGCTCCTCTTGTCCTAGAATGCGGGCTCTTGATTTAATGACCCGTGCCCTTATGAGTCCAATCAAAGCTTACAATCCTCCATTTTAAAACCGTTTCCTTTAAAATTTTCTTAAAATCAAGCGAAATTTATAGGCCGCAAACCAAGCTGCGCGTGCTGCAGCAGCTCATGCCGTAAATGAAATGGTCAACAGTGGAGGTAGATATTAAAGAAAAGAAATTTATATATTTTTGACATGATTTGGAGGAAAAAATATTTAAGATTTTGATTTAAATTTTTTTTTATTTTATGACAAATTCTCTAGAAAATTAATTAAAATTTTTATTTTTTTTAGAATTTTTATTTTTAAAAATTAAGCAATTGACTCTATTTTGATTTTCATTTTATTTCTATTGACACCTTTATCCTTAAGTCCCGGGAATTTGGGGATATATGTAGGTAAAGTGTTTTGTCTGAGGGCTGTCCGAGTCGGCAAACGAGAATAACAGTTAAACCAAGGTAGAAATTACAATGTATGTGAAGGTGGGGGGATTGGGCTGTAATAGACGAAGTAGATCAAAGGGGGCTTTTATGATCCAATTAGACTTGTTGAGACGGGCTTTTTTAATGACACAATTACACAAAAGGATTCTGCTTACTGTAGTAGGAACAATGGTTGACACAATCAGTTAACCGGAACCAAAAACCGTGGGTCAAACTAGTAATAATTGAAAACCGGTGACCTAAACCGCCCGTAGGACTGATTCCACGCTCAAATTTATTCGCATTTTTAGTAGCCAATTTAGTAGCCATTTTTTAATAGCCGATTGAAAATTTTCTTCACCTCTGTCTAGACTTTGACTCAGCAACACAACAAAAAACATGTTTTTCTAATGTAATTAAATGAGCTGAGTTCAAATATCACTATAAAAGTGCTCAAAACGGTCTACTTTTGCGTTTTTCCCGGATTTCAGACCCCTGAAAATCGAAACCCATAGGGGGGACCAAGCTGATTTTTGGGGGCCAAAAATTCGAATATGCGAATAGTAGCTCATTTGAAAGAGCTCGTCGAGCTGAGTCGACTCAGCGCATTTAATTACATTGGAAAAACATGTTTTTTGTTTGTTGCTGAGAGACAAAAAATTTTTTTAATTGATTGAATCATGCCTTGGCAATTAGCCAGAAAGCCATTGTAAATTTTAATTGGCAGAGCCCACATGCCATTTCTCTTGTGATTGCTTCCCTCTTTAAAAATTTATTTAATAAACAATGGAAAATTTATTAAAAAATAAAATAGCCTCTTTGTTAGAGAGACTTGTCAGATGCTCAATCATCAATTAAAAAATTCCCTCCCCCCCCCCTTCCCCTTAATTCCTTCCCATTCAAATTTTTTTTATTTATTTTCCCTTCTATATATTTTCTCCCATTTTTATTTTATTAATTTTTTATTTAATTAATTAATTTAAAATAATTTATTTACATAAAATAAAAGAAGCTTCAGTAAGGCTTTATTAGTGTTAAAGTTTGTTGGTTTCTAATTTCAGGAACCGCCAAGCCTATTAAGAAAGTGTGGAGATAAGTACCGTGTAGTTTATATACAATAGTTGGCCCTATCTGTAATTAATGCCGCCATTCAATTTTTCCTTTCCTCTTCGAATGGGGGAGAAAAAGTTAATTTTTCAGCTGTAGTATAGTAGTATGTCGGTAAATAGATAAACCTATAACATTCTATTCGTCTCGACGAGCTGAATCGAACGGTACCACTCTTTTTTCCGGAGATGCCCTTAGCTCTTAGAAACTACCGGAATACTATACTACAGCCGAAAAATTAACTTTTTCTCCCCCATTCGAGGAGGAAAGGAAAAATTGAATGGCGGCATTAATAGATAGGGCCAAATAGTTTCAACCTCTTACTAGAAGGGTCAACCTTAATTGCTAGACGGGTCCCTCTTAATTCAAGGTAATAGTGTAATTATTCGAGTTTTGAAATTAGGCATTTGATGGGGGTACCAAAAAACACCCTATTTTCAGGTTTAACATAAAAATAAATTTTAATTAATTATAATTTCGTAACTCTCTTAAAGGCGAATTTTTGAGGTCGCATGCACTTAAATATAAATTACAAAATTTAAGGCATCATTTTTTAAAGGATTTTGACACGGGTAATAATGATTTTTTAACTTCCGTAGCGGCTTTTTTTTAATTAATTCTTATGAAATTAAAAAAAATTCATGTGAAAGTGTTAATAATAAAATAAAAATTTTCTTTTAAGAACAAAGGAAGATTCAAAAAAATACTATTTTCAATTTTTCTTAAGACTTTTTATTAGACAAATCCGATTATTTGACAATCCGATTACTCCACTGGGACTGGGACCATTTCCCTTACCCTACCCCTGGAAATTTCTGAAAGTTATAGCCAATTTTAAAAATATCAGAAAATCAATTTAAACTTCTAGAAATTTCGATGAATAGGGTAAGGAACGGCCCCGGACTCATTGGGCGTTACAGAACCCAACCCCAGCTTTGCAATACCAAGAAAAATACAATTTTTGTCAAATCTATTTTCCTTTTTTATTCAATAACGTATTTAAAATAAAAGAAGTTTGAGCAGAGCTTTTTAGTATCCCATTATTTTTCGGTTTTAGATATCCTGAAACAAGTGTGGCTGGAAATAAACCGCATAATCATAGTGTAGTTGATCTACCGTATTTTTTGAATAATTGAGTATTTTCTTGAATTTTTTCTTGAATAACTTCATAACTAAAGTAGTATGATCTATCTGTCTACCAAACTTTCATCCCGCAGTCCCATGGACACCTCAGGCACTCTCCTTTGTTAGGTAAATTTTTTTAACTTCTCAATAGAGGGAGAATTAATTGCGGCAGGCGAGGCAGTTATTCGAGTTTTGGTATTTAAAAGTTTGGTAGGGTAGTTGAGGGAGGGCGGGTATTTAATTTTCAACTTCTCTCTAGTTGGGGTAATTAACGAGAGTGAGTTTAGCAACTATATTCTAAATTTTCAAGAAAAAGATTTTTAAAAAATTATAATTAATTTTGTATTATTGAAAAATAAATATTAAAGTAATTACAAAATCCTTTTTAACTTTAAAGGGATATTTTTAAGGTCGTATGCACTTATGTATCTCATGAGAAAATTACATAATTTAATGTATTATCGTTAAAGGAATTTAACACGGCTTATAAATATTTCTAATTTCCGAGGCGGCTTTTTTCTATGTAGTCATTATGAAATTTATAATAATTCACGTGAAATTGAAAATAATAGAATATGAAAATTAGCCCTTTAAAAACACATGGAAAAATTAAAAAAAATATTTTTAATTAGCCATTCTAATAACTATAATCCCGCTTATTTCAGAACTAGTGGACTGAAAAGTTATATTTTATTAGGGTTGTTGGCGACCGGTTAAATACCTGTACCCCCGGATTTTGGTTTAATGGCCAGAACACCACAAACAACCTTAATTTTTATGATTATTATGGCTATCCTGGATGGGTGGGGGCTAACTCAAGGAACAGACAAGTCAAGGAAAAGACAGGTCAAGGAACGACCAACTCAAGGAATGACCAACTCAAGGAATACTTTAAAAATCGAAATTTTTTTAAAAAACAGAATTTTTCGGATTTTTTTTTAAATTCTGTTTTTTAAAATGTTCTAATCTGTTTTTAAACTCTTATTTTCTAAAAATATTCAGATTTTTCAAAAATTCAGATTTTTAAAATATTCCATGAGTTGGTTATTCCTTGAGTTGGTCGTTCCTTGACCTGCCTTTTCCTTGACTTGTCTGTTCCTTGAGTTAGTCCGAAACGATCCTGGATAATTATTCTTTTTTTAAGTTTATGAGTTAAATAAAATAATTTTCTTCTATGTTTACTTTTTAATATTCATCTCATAATTGAGTTAGAGGATCCGGATATCTGGGACTGAAATACCGTGTATGCTCGACTAATTATCCTGGATAATTATTTTCGCCTTGATACAAATTATTTTAACCTCTCATTTAATTAATAGTGAGAAGATAATTATTTGTCTTATACGGTAATTCCGTATATTGGAAAATTTTAAGTCCGGATATAGGTTCCGGCTATACTAATGCATAAAAATTTTTAACTTTAGAAAAATTATTTTCAAAACTTTCTTAAAAAATGACTTCATTTTGCAATCATTTGCTATTCTCTTCAATAGTATTTTTGATGTTTTGTGATTTAGGTGTTGAGGCAGTGCGTAATATACACACAAATCAACCTAGTGGAAGCCGCGGAGGAAATAGAGTATATTTTAAATTAATTTAAATTTATAAAACTAGGAATATTATAAAAGTTCACGAGCCTAAAGCCAACCGAAGGTAAATCGGAAATGACTGAGGTGCCTAAAATCTGAATTCCGATTCGCCTTTGATGATAACATTGTAAATTTTTTTGCAAGCTATATAGATTATTGGTAATATAGTCTTATCACTTCACATATCCGCAAATGTTTGTCCGCAAAAATTTTGCCAAATAACTTTCCAAATGATGTCGGACACTTCTTAGTGTCTTTTGTTTCTCAATTTTGTGATCCCCACAAACGTTCAATCTTCTGCATGCTTATTGCGTATTCATTGATCTATAAACTGTTGTGTCCGTACTTGCAGAAAAAACATAAATGAAAATAAATAACTCTACATCGGGTTGGATTGTGGCACAGTCGGTTGTGCTTCGGTCTGGGCTCATTCCATGATGGTTCAATTCCATCTCCCATCCAATGAATTTTTCCACAGCATGAACACGTATACAATATAAACAAATTTAACATATGTAATAATGCCGAATTTCTAATATTAACTGATTTATTTTATTTAATCTTTGATATTTATTAAATGATGACCATTTTCAATCTTTATGTAGAAAAAAGTAAGGGAAGGAAAGGCAAATAGGCAAAGGAAAATAAGGAGGAGGAGAAAAAATTTGCGGACAAATATTTGCGTATATGCGGGGAGATAAAACAATTGTACCAAATTATAACTGAATTTCTCATTCATTAGTAAAAATAAATTCTTTTTGATATATGACATGAATAACATCCATAATTTAATAATTCTTTAGAATGCAAACAATATAAATCAACAATTGGCTCAGTTGCACAAGCAACAGGAGTAAGCAACTTAAATTTTAATAGGGCAATATCCATATCATTTTCTTTTTTATAACACTTTGGGGTTCCTCTCAAATTCTCACCTAAGAATAATTAATCAGTTTTCATTGGCTGTTTTATAACGAGAGGGTCGAATATGAGGGCCGAAATATGCAAAAATGTGCAAAACGATAGGGCCGAAATATGTAAAAATATGCATTAAGAACCGGGTCCTAAAGTGCTCGGGCCAATGTAAAAACACCGTTTTTGAGCTTCTTACATCAAGGCATATCCGCATACAAAACATGCATTTGCATGTTTTGTGAGTCCCTAGTTATAACTCATCAAACTATTTCTGTTTTATTTTAATATAGACTGCGAGTACATCAACTGCAGGAATTATAACCGACGCAGTTCGTCAAATTAGAGCACTTCATCGTGAAATTGGTCGATTGAGTGAACGGGTAGGTGAAAATTTCATTTTTTATGATACATAGGGAACGGGGTTTCCAAATTACATATATTCCTGAATATCCTTGTAGTGTTATTCAAATGCGTTTTTCAGGTAACGGTATCGGTATTTCGGTAAAATACCGTTACCGAAAAATTACCGATTTTTCACAAATTGACCGGTAATGTACCGCCGGTATTTTACCGGTAAATTACCGTTACCGA